GTGGTACTTTTGGTGTTCTTCACCAGCAAGCACAATTCAAAGGCATTGATACTTCGGTGCTGACTAGTTGGTTCCAGTTCACAACGACCCCCTGTACAACAGAGCAAAGCACTGCTGGTCCTGCCCCGTCTTCACCGTTGTTAGCTTTGAGCTCCCTTGTGCAGTCACTGTGCCACATTGAAGATCCTCCTCTTTTTCGCAAATCCTCCGTATCTTATAAGAAAGCCTGGTGACATCGTGGTTCCAAGTGAGGATGCTAACCGAACCTAATGGTCAACATTTTGAACCTAACAGCCGCTCTGTAGGAGAAAAAGGGAGCTCTCTGCTCTCTTAAAGACGTATAGCCTCAGGCACTCTCACTCTGCCCTATGGTCAGTATGAGTCAGCATTAACTTGATGGCTGTGAATTTTGTTTTTTTCATCTATGACTATTAATGCTCTGTCACCAGGGAGCCCTAGTGGTGCTTTCTGGTAAGCCATGGGCTGCTAATCCTGTGCTTCCTTCCCCCACAGAAATACTACCCACCTGACTTCGACCCCTCGAAGATCCCCAAGCTTAAGCTACCCAAGGACCGGCAGTATGTGGTGCGGCTGATGGCCCCCTTCAACATGAGGTGAGTCGAGTCCCCACCCAGGCATATGACTAGTCCAGGCTGCCCCTGGCCTCTGCAGTTGGAGTATGGGGCACACCTGATGGCCCCCGTCAACATGAGGTGAGTAGCCTGTGACTCCCAGCATCCACAGCTCAGGGCACTAGTTGGGACTGCTCCAAGCCTCCCTACCCCTGGCTTCTGTAGAGGGAACCCTGGGGGCATAGTGATTACACGTGCCTGCCAACCTAAAGCTCATTGGTTCAAATCCACCAGCCCCTCAGAGGGAAAGATGAGGCAGTCAGCTTCCTTCAAGATTTCCAGGCGTGGAAACCCACGGGGGCCGTTCCACCTGGTCCTGCAGAGTCGCTGAGTCAGCACGGGCCCAGTGGCAGTGGGTTGTTTTTTCTACTTATATAAAGAGAAAAAATTATCAAGAAAATGGCTCAGACTACTGGAAGGGTGAAGGGAGGGTGGGATGGAAAGGGGGAACCAATTACAAGGATCTACATGTA